ATATATCTCCAGTATATCAGTAAAACTATTTTAATTAAAACTATATGCAAGAAAATTACATTTACTTTATCAGTGTCTGAATTTCCTCTATTATTGTGGGGAATAATTGTAAGCAATATATGAAATGCATATAAAAGTTGCTTTATATGGTATACTTTAAACCAAAGGAAGGATAGTTTCTGTGCAATTTCATCTCGTAGTTTTATTTGATGTCTGTGATCATTGTGTAGCTTTCACTGCACATATAAATTAATATAATGTATCCTTATAAAAGATGGACAAGATACAGATATGTAATAGACACCCATGCCTTCTAATGATGAACTTCATTCAGACCAAAACAAGATGGAGAAAAAAGGGTTGTGGAAACCCCAAATTTGGTGCACGATATAAATAAGAGAATAGGGAACATGAAGTGGCAAAAAGTAGGTTTGTGTGCTATACCAAATGCTTTAATTGAAGCACATAAAGCAGATTATGTGCACACTGAAGTGAAGATTGGACAGTTGATTTTATCTACTTTTCTATCCTATTCTCACAATATTTGATTAATCTGTTTTTATACCACCATGTGCTACACCTCTCTGTCCTGTTTATTGTTCTGATTCAGAGAGGAATAAACAGATAGAATGATCTCTAAGATGCCACCTTAGATAGATATCAAAATCTATCTTCTAATGAAACAATTGAGAAGATCTTACCTGCTTGTTTTGTAACAAATAGATATTGTGTTGGTCTGTTGAAAATCAAATGTAATAAATTAACCTAACCTAATCGTTCTGGGTCAGTTTATATATATTTTGAAATACCTGTACAATAACATTTATAGGTTTAACAGAACATAAAATAAACACAAGGGAATCCCCTTGTGATAGAATTCCTAGACATAATTGTTAGGTATGGAATATTTCCAGTCAGCTAGATACTGTAAGTAGGGAAACATTTATCTAATTATAAAATAAACAGGGACACACACACACACACACACACACACATATACATGTACATACACATACATACATACATACACACACACACACACACACATACACATATAATAAGAGGCACCAAGTCACTGCATCACCAACTGGATGGGTTCCTGCAGGAAACATTCTGTAGAGCAAGATTGGTTGATGGGACACTCCATTCTGCCAGTTGAGCAATAGACCATCCCAATACATAATTGGGATTAAAATATACAGTGAATTAAAAACAACTACTAGAAGTATTCCAAGTAGAACTGAGAGTCATAATTAAAAGTATTAAGAATAATAAAAAGAAACCTACTTTCCCATCCAAGAGACAGTTAAAACAATCCAGCCTTCCTGACTTGATGAAATAGCCAGTTTTCCACCAGCTTCCTAAAATGATCCAATTGAGTATCAGGTGGCAATATTCCAGTGAGCAGGGGAGCCCTGATGAGACACATAGAGAGTATGTGTCTACAACCTCTTTTTGACTGGTGGAGCAGTGAAAAGGCAGTTGCACAAATACCTAGGCACCAAATTATGAAAAGCACCCCTGGAATTGCTCCAGAAGCCAATTGGCAAGCAGAATATCCATCAGATTATCCATGCATTATAAGTCATGACCAACTCTGACTCAGAGGGGTCTAACACAACTGAGCATGCTGTGGAGAGCTGTTTGGATCTCAGCCTGAGGAAGTTTTGAGCATCCAGACACCTGAGGCTACCCTAAAAATCACCAGGTTCAGCTGCATCCATTGTCAGAGAACGAAGAACCATAGCTGGAAAGACCACTCGGGTCCAGAGCATGCTGTGTACAATGGAGAACTGAGTAATGGCATTTGGCATGTCTCTTTGTACACCAGGATCATTTCCAGCCTTAATTGAGCAGCCTAGGCTCTGTTTAATAGTCTGTCTCTCAATAGGAATAACTGCTCCATTTATCAGAATATCTGAAAATTTTTGCCCTGAACCTCTGCCTGTGGGAACTCTGCTGCTTTCTGACAAATTCATTATAGATCTCCGATCCTCAAACTATAACTCAGACCTTTTGGCTCACTTCTCTAGATTTTTGACTATCCTAAAGCTGGTCCAGATAATGTTTCATCCAGAGCTCTCTGCCATTTCAGTTCAATCACTTTCTCTACAGCTTCTGCCCATCCAAAGCAGAGATTGAAGACAATTGAATAACTGTGGAGTAAATTTTAGCTTCCTAAAATTTGCAAAAACAGGTGTAACAATTTCTATTTGCGCATTACAGTCTATCTCCCAAAGAAACATTGATTGCTTTTCTGATGAAGCTCCAGTCACATCTCTGGAGGCTTTCATTCACCAGGATAGGGGTCGGTCCATCCTATAGGAATATTGCAGAGGATTTTGTCCACTTCTTCAGAAGTTACAAGATCCAACTCATTTCATATAACATCACAGTATGGATCTCAGTCATCTTCTGACATTGGAGCTGCTCAGGTGATATTGAACTATGAGTGGATCTGAGTGAATTTTTCATAGCAGAAGTAGGACCTCTGTTTCCAAACTCTGTCCATGGTGCTGGAGTCCATTTCTACAGGATCACAATATAGGAGGAACCTATCGGATTGTAAATGGCAAACTGCAAACTCAAGATTGATCACAGTTTTGGCCTAGGAGTGCCATGAAAAGATTACAGGGATGGTAAGGGTGTTGTGAACTGAGAAAGTTTGAGAAATTTGTGCAACTGACAGTAGATCAGATATAATACAATAACTAACTGTAGTTAGTTATTGTATTATATCTGATCTAACTGTACCTGAATAGTTAACTGTGTTTCCGTTGGACAAGATGACTTGGGTAAATATACATTCATTTGTAATGCATGATATCTTCTTGATCTTATTACTTATTTATTCCCCTTTACAAAGATTGCCTATTTGATTGTTTACAGACTAAACTAAAAACAAAAATAGAACCCTGGAACAAACAACAAAAGCTGTTGGATTTGTTTATCAGCTGAAATAAATGCTAAAAGCCTACAATTTACTTTAGCTGCTCACCCAGCTGCAAATACATTTAACTAAGTTAGATTGTCCAAATAGCATTGCTTTCAACAGATTTAATAATTTCAGCACACACTGAATTGACAGTGATTTCTTTCATTGATATTGTATTTTTCCTTCAAGCAGCTTAGGAAAGCATAAATTGTTTATTTTATTTTAACTTTACAGCAAATCTCTGAAATAAATTAGTCTCAGAGTTAGCGAGTGGCCCAAGGAAAGCTTTGTGAAAGCATCATGCTTTAAAATCTGAATTCACACAGTCTAAGTAATACTTAACCCATGATAGTTTGCTCATTATAAATTGTATGTGGGTAGGCTTATTGTGCTCAGACTTTTTCATTCACTGATAAAAATCAAAAGTCATTCAATTTAGTTCACAGTGTTTATCTCAACTATCATTTAAGTGATTGAATAATGAATTAGTTTGGTGATTCAGTCAACAGGGATTTTGTCATTAACATTGAGAGTCAGTTCGGAAAGATATCAGGTATTTAAAAACTTCTAGGGGGAGTTTGAAATAGCTAACAGTTGACAAGGAAAAGTTTTAAGTTCATTCCTTCCTTCTTTCCTATTGTATATCTAGTTGAACACTTTCAAAATTTTATTTTCAGAAAAATAGCTACGGAGTTGAGGACGGAATTAGCCTTTGAATTGAGGATGGAAATAATATCAGTTTTTTTAAAAAAAATCATTAAAATATTATATTTTTGACAAAAGGCCCTCCTGTTTTTATTATAATTTGATACAGTACTCCCATGCAAGCTTCTGGAACAGAATTCATGCCTGTCATTGTTCGTAGTTAAAGAAATAAATGAGCAGCTTTCTTTTAACTAATAATAATTGATGCACAGAAGGATTTTTTTAAAATTCTTTTTAAAAACTTTAAGTTCAGGGCAAAAGAAACTAGATAATTTATTTAAAAAGTAGCCTCTGTAAAAATATTGGAGGCCTAATACAATATTGTGCATTTTAAAGTATCTCCTGTTTCAAATATTCAAATAAAAGGAGTAGGTGTAAATTAGATTAAAAAGAACAGACATTGAATACATTGATCAGCATTAACAATAGCGAGAGAAATTAACAAAGAAGAAAGGCAGATTCTAATACCTTGGAGATGCAGAACACAAAAGAGCTTCTTGTTACTCAAGGACCAGAAAGTGAAACCATTGTAAATTAGGTATTCATTAAAACACTAGATATCAAAGAACATGAAAAGCACTACCTCTGGGTATTTACTTTTTACTAGGTTTACTGGAAGTCTGCCACATTGTAACATTATTTCTAGAGATAATGTAAGATAAAGCTGCTGTTAAAAGTAACTCAGTGCAAGTCTCCTAGCTCAATTTTCATCTCATCTGAACATCTGCCTGTTCCTGAACACCTCTTGCAGTTCCCACACTGAAATAATTTATGTTCTCTTAGGGGCTAGGATCAAGTTGGTTAGTGAATATGTCATTGAGACAATTAGCAGACTGATGTTAAACCAGTTGCAAATGCTAAAGAGGGGCTGGAGGAATACCAGTCAGTTTTACTTTAATACCTAAAACATGGCTAAAACTGATATTCCACTGCCTAAAATTTATTTTTCTTATACAAGATATATTTTAAGAACACATAGGCTGGCTTATCTTAGAATAAAGCCTATTGATTTAATGTATTCTACTTCAGAATAAGCATGCCCAAGGTATGGTTATCAGAGAAGATGTTATGTGTACTCAAACCAATTTCACTTGATCTTGAAAAATAATTTAGCACTAAAAATTTGATAATTTTTTCTTGTCCAAACTATTCAGGTGTTTTTGAGATTAAGAATGAAATCGGAGACACAAAATACTCTAAAAACTATGAATGTTTGTCACTATTCTATATTCATACATGAAACAAATAAATATTTCTAAATAAAATGAGAGAAACCTTGCAATATCAAAGTAGTGTTGTTATATTCAGGTGTCTGCAATGAGTTTTCTAAGGATGATAATTTTTATTTTTGTGTGTGTAGATTTTCAGAAGATGTTGGCTGGTCTTCAAGAAAGCTTCAAGTAAAGGACCTCGAAGGCTAGAAAAATTTCCAGATGAGAAGGCAGCGTATTTCAGAAATTTTCACAAGGTAAGTAGCAACCATATTAGGCAGAAAGCTAAACCATTTTTGACACATTTGAAGTGGAAGCAACATTACTTGGATGCTGTTGATATAGGCTCAGATAATGAAACATGATTGCCTTCTTTCCATCCTTTCTGTAACAGTGCACAATTAATTAATGATCAAGTTTGTAATCTACACTAATTATCTGTAATTCAATACACAGTTTAAACACAAAATATCAGTGCATTTAAATATCTGAAGCCATTTTCTTAAGAGGCTAACAAAGAAATTTAAACACCTGCCTGGGACTGAAAAGATTTTGTGAAAATTCATGTATAAAAGTACCATAGTTTAGATATTGGACGTTTACTATCTACTGTCTGCCATTCTACAGATGGAAATTTTCCTTCCACTTGTATATCATCAAAAGTACTGTAATTCATTCAATATTCCCTTTAGCCTATGTTTGCTTTTAATATTCTTAAGGCTGAGCTACAGTAATATAGTGATTTTAAGCAAAAAACAGCAAGTATAATTTATATAGTATAGCAGCTCAATAGAATTGAATGGTTGTATATTTGAGTGGATGTCTTATAGTGAGCTTCCTATGAATTAAATATAATAGTGAAAGTGTTACATTATAACTTTTTTCTATTTTTATATGATATTTTTTTCAGAGGTATGGTTCATGGAAGCTGAAAGTTGCCTAGAAAAAACACTATCTGATCAACCCTTTAAGACAGATTGGATGAAATGCCCTCTTAGAATGAAGTAAAGTTTTATAGTAACCACTTAGAAGAAGGCATTTTACTTCTATGTACTACTGCCTACAAACATATATATTCTAATAAGTGTGCCAGAGTTTCAACAGAAAAAAATTAAGGATCTACATTTATGAATTACATTATCTTTATATTTTTGCTGAAGTTTGGAAATTATTTCCAAGAAAAAGTTACACATTTTATAGATATACAAAAATGCTATATTTTGTTTCGAAGTTCAACTGTCATCTTCCTCCTAGAATAATTACCTACTGAACTTGAAGGACGTGGATTGTTTTTGATGGAGGGCATGTATGTCACAAAAATTAAAAAGTGACACTAGGAAATTTATTAAATAGCATTGCTTAGGGTTTGACTTCAACCTCTTGTCTGAATTTTGAATAAAAGAAAGTTGGTAGAACTTCCTTATAGTCCTTGGCTTTCATTCAGAAAGAATATAGCTGAGATAAGATATTTCATCAAATCACATTTTTAAAGGATTGCATAGACTTGTAACTATTACCAGGATTTTGGTAAACTTCTTTCAATTTTTTATAAAATATATTTCTTATTGTCTGGGACTACTGCCTACTTGAGCTGAAAAAGAATCCAAATTAGCTTCAAGGACAAGTATGGGTATTACTATTAAACATTAATTCAAAGTTGGGCCTTAATCTCAGCAGTCATTAGACATTTGTTAATTGTTACTTAATTCATAAATTTAATTTATACGTAATATTCTGATTAAAAAGCAGGTGGTTGTTTTTCTAAGTGTTTTATTGGCGTTTTTGTTAGGTAGTATATAAATTAAATTCATGTTTTATTGAACCTTGGGTCCTAGTTTTTTTTATCCCAGCAGATACATTTTTTTAAGACGAAGCATTGTTGCTGACAGCAATATCAAGCAATGTTGTTATGCTCGGTTGGCAAAGATTTTATTCTGTGCCTAAGGCAGAAATAAAAATGCAGATCATTATCATGAAATATACGACAGATCTATTGTTTAGGACTTCTTCCTGGCATTGTGCCCACTATAGTCTACTCAGTTTGTTTAGTAGCTGGCAACCTTTATGTACCTTAGAGTCTTTCTTTGGTCGCCTGCCACTTTAGTCTCTTTGCTAGGTCCTTCCTCCTGGAAATATTTGGTAGGTCTTAAACAGGTAATTCGCAACTTACAACCATTTGTTTATGACTGTTCAAAGTTACAATGGCACTAAAAAAAGTGACTTACAATCGGTCCTCATATTTATGACCATCAAAGCATCCCCATGGTTACGTGATCAAAATTTGGGCACTTGGCAACTGGCATTTATTTAGGATAGCTGCAGCATCCTGAGCATGTAATCACCATTTGTGATCTTCCCACCTGGCTTCTGACAAACAAAGACCATAGGGGAAGCCCATATGATTCACTTTAGAATTGTAGTGATATGCTTAACAGCCATGACAACAAGGTTACAAAATTGGGCATGACTCACTTAACAATCCTCTTTACTTGGCAATGGAAATTCTACTCCCAATTGTGGTCCTCAGTGGAGGTCTACATGTTCTCTCAAGAGCCTCTTAGAAGACTATACCCCCTCACTTGGTCTGCTGTAGGGCTTTTTCAATGGCTGTTCTATTGCCTTTCCTGATCTCTTAAAAAGAAAGTTCAGCTTCAAATTGAAAGAAAATTCTACCTATGCCTTTTCCCACTCTTTGGTTTTGGGGGAGCATTTATCTTGCATCTTTGTTACAGTCCCACAACATTGCTATATAATTCTGCTTTTGTTTATGCAGCTTCATCAGCATAAGAAGGTGGGATTGTTTAAAAGCAACAGGATTTTGGAGGAAGTTAACCAGATATTCCACTCCATTCTCAGCAAGATTCCTTTCTTTCATACAGTTCTAACTCCTGTACCCATAGAATCTATTCTTCTTTTAAAAATGTAATTTCGTTAATTTTCTCCCATTGACATTGTTAAAACAGAATAGGGAAGGCATACAGAGCATGGCTTTTTGAATTTGTTTGAACCTTTTCCATCCTTTTAGGAACAGTCATCATCCAAATTATTTGTATTGTCTTGTATGTAACAAGGTAGTGATATGATTGAAAATGAAGCTGCCACCAGTGTTCTGCACTGGGGCCTTCTTCTTCTTCTTCTTCTTCTTCTTCTTCTTCTTCTTCTTCTTCTTCTTCTTCTTCTTCTTCTTCTTCTTCTTCTTCTTCTT